CCGGGAAAAAGCAAATTGGAAGTCTGATACATGTCCAATTGCTTTTTCCCGACCCTTGGAAAATTCTTTGTCGTGGGAAACTGCGCAAGTATGGCGAAAGGTTCGCATTGTGGACGCGAAAGACGACGGGGCCAAACCCCACCCCACTCCACTCTTCTTGCTGGAAGCACGCGCTGGACACTCCAGCTGCAGATGCACTCATAGCATGCCCACAAGTGCAGGTATGTGAGGTGAGGGTATGTGAGGTGAGGTGGTTGGTTCTACAGCTCTAAGTGCGCATACAACACGGTCGGTGACTCCAGCGCGCGGTTCCAATTTTCTTTTCTAAAGCCTGGAAAAAGCATGTTTTTCAGAGAGCAGTGGCCTAATGGATAAGGCGCCAGGCTCATAAGCAGAAGCTCGTGGGATCGAGTCCCACAGGCGCTGCTTGTTTCCAGGCCGGATTCCAAACTGCAAGTCTGATACATTTACATTTTGCTTTTTCCCGAATTGGAAGTCTGAACCATTGGAAGTCTGAACCATCGGGAAAAAGCAAAATGGAAGTCTGAACCATTTTGCTTTTTCCCGGCTTGGAAAAAAGCAAATTGGAAGTCTGAACCATAAGCAAATTCGAAGTCTGAACCATTTTGCTTTTTCCCGGCCCCGGAAAAAGCAAATTCGAAGTCTGAACCATTTTGCTTTTTCCCGGCCCGGGAAAAAGCAAATTGGAAGTCTGAGCAAACTGGCCTGACTGAGCCGTCTCTTGTTCATGGAGGGTTGTGCCCAACCAAAAACACACCAACTTGAAAACTGCTTGGTTGGCTGGCTTCCTGTTCCTCAGCAATCAATGTGTCAGTGATCAGAGGACACAAGACGTGCCAGGGCAACTGCATGAATCCTTGAAAGCCTCTAGCCCCAACGAAAAACCATTTTCGCCGACAGTGGTAAAACCCCACGCGCGAAAGCTTGCGAAAGCTTCGCGAAGGTCCTGCGAAAGGCCTGGAAAAAATGAAAGGACTTTTGAACAACCCCCATATGCCGCAAGCTGAAGCGACAATCAGAGCAGTATTCCAGAACTTGCCAGGGAAGTCGGGATGACTGCAAGATAGAACAACCACAGGCGCTGAGGCTGAAGCTTCACTATAGAACTTTGCGGGTTCCCTCAACTTCAGATTTGGTGGGACAAAGAATTGCGTACGAATTGGCTCAAACAAATCCCCAACCCACTCCAAGCCTCCTTCCAAATCCTCAGCATCATACTGATCATAGACCAAGCGTACTGGCAAGAAGAACTCGGGCAAACTAGGACCCACCTCCACACACCTCAAAGTCATCAAATCGCACGACATCAGTTCATATGCAATGACCGTTTCAGACTCAAGAGCTCTGCTGCCCTGCATCGTACGTAGTTCTCGACCTTCACGGTGCAAGACTCGTTGCAAAGCAGGGCTCTTGACGATATCTGCTGCTAGAGCTTCCACAAATGTGCCTCTCATTGACACCTGCAGCAATTGGAGATTCACTTCCAGCCAATAGACGTCTTTTCGAGGCAATGGCTTGACACATCCACGATCAAAGCACGCGTCAAGTGCATAGCAACCCATTGCCCCAAGCCATGTTGTTTTGCGCTTCCATCTCTTCTTGGCTGTGGTCATGTGGTCTCCAAGTGTGTACTGCTTCAGAACGATGTTCAACACCTCGTGAAACTCATCCGGAGAACTGGTGGAATCGCAAGAATTCAGCCATTCAATCAAGAAACGTCTGTGAACTTGCAGCACCTCCATCACTTCTGGCTCGGGTATCTGCAGGAACCCAGCATTCCAGGTGTGACGAGCAACCAGGAAGGAAAAAGACCCCAGCAGCCTGCGGACATGGTGGCAGGGAGATCGTTCTTGGTTGGGCTTCCCCACCAACTTCAAGCCGCGAAGCAGAAGCAAAATATGGGCATGGATGTCGCACATCCGCTGCACATTCTCGTCTGTGAGATGAGGTTTCTTCTGGCAGCTGTCCCAAAGTTCTTGCAACCAACGCTCTAAGCAAGTCATAAGCCCTTGCCCTTCGTGCTCCGACACGCGCTTCTCATGGTCAATCATGGCTTGCTGTAGGGTCCAAAGAACCTCCTGCTCCTTGCGCGCGCCGGGCTCCGGCAAACCCAACTCCCAATTCTTTTGCTGGGACCTGTGCTCTCCCTTCATGATCTGGTAAACGAATGTAACGGCGCTCATCACTCGAGCATAGAGGTCCACTGTCTTGGAAGTTGATGAGGTGGCCACATCTAACGCCAGCTTTAAGCAGTCGATGAGAGCGTGCAGTAAGGGTTTGGGCGAGCGCGCAAGTTCCAACAAGAGTTGGCCGTTCGGGGAGCCCATTAAAGCCATCTCTGCCTGCCCGGTGGCTGGGACTCGTTCCGGACACTTCGACTCGTTGCTGCTCATAATCAAACGCCCGGGCTCGAACAACGCAGCTTGCAGCATAGCTTGCAAGGCTGGATGGCGCAAGGCTAGGACTCGGTCGTGTCGACAGAAGAAGCGAAGCAACAATGGTTGGCGAAGATATGGCACTGTGAGGAAGCTGAGAAGCAGCTCGACATCACTGGCCATGAGTGTGTTGTCAAAGTTTGGGAGACTCCTGGCACAAGAATCACCCCCTGCTATTCAGAAGAATATACAAGCTGAGACCTATTCGATGTGGCAAAGGTTTAAAGTAGAAACTGATCCTCACTTCAACACACGTGACCTCGCTTAGTTGGAAGGAAACATGGCACAAGGGCGAATCATCCTCAATGCCTACATTTAGAGCAAGGAAGCAGAAAACAAGGAGATGCATCATATCATAGTAGTGGAAGCTTTGTTAGTTACCTGGCACGGAAAAGACTGTGTCTCAAAACCTTCAAAAATGCTTCCCTGTCCTCATATACAGCAAGTCGTCTTCACACGTTGTCGGACTCTTCGTGTGATTGGATGCTGCTGCGCTGCTTTGCCAGCGCCGTCCGTCCGCAGATGGATTGATCTTTCCTTCTGGCGGTTGCAGCAGGATTTTGCCTAGAGCTCTTACATAGTACTTGCCTCTTTCCAACTCCCAGCGCAAAGTTGCTTGGCTTTGTGAGAAGGACCCTTGTGGAAACACCCGAAGGTCCGTACACAATGCGTATTTGAACCAGAACACGATGTCCCGGTATGCTCGGAAGTCTGGAAATTCCACCACCAAGTAAGAATCCTCACCCGTGAGGAGCCGTTCTGCACTTCCACTGTGCAAGAACGAGGCTGCCAAAAGATTGAGCTTCCGTAGTGATCGTGAGCATTCATTTCCCACTGCCCATCTTCCCAATCAAAGAGAACGCGCCCCCGATCTCCCTTCAGTTCAAGCCATTCAGTAACCTCCACAAAGTAGTTGATAGTTGCCGAACGACTCGTGTGCAGTACAGGAATGGCCACTTCTATAGCCTCTGACTGAACCACAAAGGCATCAATCAAAATGGCAAAGCCAGAATCTTCTGAATCACCTGAGCCATTGAGTATTTTGGTGAGGGCATTGAGTGGAACTGGAGGGATTCCAGAGCGTTCTGACGACTTGGACTTGTTGGGCCAGACGAATCCTATTGGTCTTGCGGAATCATCCGCCGCGCCAGACGATCGGACAGCCATGGCCCCAAAAACGCCAAGAACGGAATCAAAGCCTCGACTCAGATGGGCTCTCGCCTCTGCAAGGACAGCTGTGTCTTCCCTAGAGGGAAAGAATACTGTATGCTGCGGCAGCAAAATGCGAACAAAGACGGAGCAAAACTTGCTGCAGATCGGAGATCATGGGTCTGGTCAGATAGTGGTGCGGAGATCTGAAGTCTGCGTTGGACCAAATCTTGTCTTTGTCAGACGATGCTGGTCCCAGTGGAGTAGGAACGATTTCGGTGAAGAGCTGCTGCAACACGTTCACGATGAAGAGGTGACCGAACTTGCAACGACCAGATTGACGCATCCCGGACAGGGTTCGACAAATCTCATCGGCCGTGTAAATGCTCTGAATCGCTTCTTCAATCGTCTCTGCGTGCTCGCGCAAAGACAAGAGATCTAGGGGGATCTGAGGAGGTATGCGTAAAGACTGGTTGGGATGTGCAGTAGCACCATCTTGGGCTGGTGAGGCCAAGACATCAAGCTGAAGCTCGGATAGCGGCAGCTCCCCAGAATACAAGACGGGTTTTGCTGCCAGTGCCTCATCAGATCGTTGGATGAGTTGCTTTGCTTCTTTCAGCAACTCTGATCCGTGTTCGGCAACTCTACGAACATCCAGCTTCGCAGCTGACAATCCAAGTTGCGAGGCTGCAATGCGGAGGCATGTCCTTTGACTGTAGCTGATTCTTGGAACTGCATCCGCATCTTCCAGCGACGCTCGAAAGAACTGCTGTCGCAATCTCCATTGGAATAGCTTCGCGTCGGTCACCGAAACCGAACTTGAACGGAGTAGTTGCCGAAGCCCGTGCATGATGACCTTCCAGCATCCGCTTCCATGTTGGGGGCTTCGCCAATCTTGATCTCTAGAATCATGAAGTGCATCCTCGAGCATTCTGGTCTGCCCCATAGGGCCCAACAGAAAAGGCAGAAATAGATCGTATAGAAGATGCCACTCTGACTTCTGCCCTACAGTAGGGACTGCAGAGAAAAGTGATAGCCAAAATGCATCGTCCTCAGCCTTTTCACAGCATATTCCCTCAAAAACCATGGATGTCTGGTACTTTACCTTGGGATGGCCCTGCACAGAGGCCTTGTGATACTCTTTGCCCTGTCCGGGATTCACAAGGGTTAGCCGGTAGGTATCATCAGGCTTCTCCAAGATAAGCAAGGCAAACTGCTTCTCCGGTCCGTCCCGAGTCATTTGTACTAGGCCAAAGGGTATCAGCAAAGGTCCGAAACTCGACCCATTTGTGGCCAGCAGCTACCTCAACTCGTTCAAGACCTTGAGAAAGTTCTTCACCAATGGCACTTGCTCGTCAATGTCTGGCTCCGAAACTGCCCAAAGCAAGTCAATCTTCTCAAAGAGCTTCGAGGATCGGAGAAGCTGTTCATAAGTCTTTTGGAGCAAGTCACGTGAGATGCCGCAGCTCGTGTGATGAGCGCTCTCCTTCATCAAGGTCTCCAGAGCAAATAAAACCAAACGATGGCTGCGAATCACTTCTTGCGGCTGCTGCCCAGCGCTGATAAAAGCATCACAGAAACAGCCAAAGAATGAGGCATCCTGAAAAACGGGGTGCGCCTGCTTCTTCAGTAGCTTCAATTTCTGGAGCACTAAGGGTGGTGGTTGGATCGCTTTCATCCACTTCTTCTTTTTGCTTAAGAGAACCTGCAGTGGTGAAGCTTCCAAAGACTCACGGCAAAAAAGCACAAACCTCAGAAAAGAGCCTTTCGACAATTCTTCGGCACGCTTGGATCCAAAGAGCCGAAAAGCAGTCTCAATAGTACTCAAAGTCGGTCGCACTGTGCTTCCTTCGGTCTCAGTGTCTTTTTCTTTGTGTGCTTTGCTATCTGGCACCTCCTTTCCATCCAAAGTCAGACGTGCAAAACCATTAGCAAACCGTGCGAGGACAACACAGTGCCATTTGTTCCAGGCTAAAGGCGCAGAAATCAGAACCTCTGTAGTTCCACTGGATCTGAGCCTCAACATGAGAGGATTTCCACTCTCTGAACCTGCTTCGACTACCAGTTCTGCTTCATTCAATGTCGTGGAACGGCCCATGAAGGTCCCCCCAAATCGGCCGATTCGTGCCGAAGAAGGTGGGTTCCCAACAAGCTACATGTCTACCGTTGTTTACCGTTGTAATGGACATCAACTTGGCACCTGCCCGGGTAATTTGTGGGGCAGCTGCATGGTTCATCAACGAACGGGGACAGGTTTGTCGATGTCAATTGGCAAGCGCCGGCAAGGCACTCAAATGTCTTGAGCCTGTGCTTATCTAAAAAGAACTGAAGCTTGAAGCTTGTCAACAAACTGGCCATGCTCATTTTATCTCATTTCCCTGGCGTTGAGAATGGAGCATCGCAACATATCGCAACATTGATTCTGCAAGATCAGCATCAAGGGATGTCCAACATGGCCAGGCTCATTTCAGTCATTTCACATTTTTCGGAACAACTGCATGCTACGGAAGCTATCATCTTGGCACCTTGGCCGGACTTGGCACGCAGCGATTTTTCTGGGTTCTAGGCTTCCAGTTTCTGCTTCACTTTGGTCACCCCTGACAAAGCCACAGTGTGGAGATGAAGACGCATCGAAGAAAATGACATGTATAGAACGTGGTCGGATGCTGTATAGTCACTCCATCGAAAAGAAAGTTGGCTGAGCATGGCTGAGCTGTGGTTATATTAGCGCCTTTTCTGTGGCAGTCTCCTGTGGATACTGATACTGATTCTGCTTTAAAATTAGCATTAGTTAGAACACTTCATGCGAGAGGCACATGTTTGGTTTCTGTCACTGCCTTTGCAAGCAAGCGTTAGGGCAAGGCCGCAAGGCCTTAAGGCACGGCTTTTTGGACGTGACAGTCGTGACGGACGCGCCGGACGCGCCTTTGGAGCGGATGGTCTGCACAGACGGCGTCCCAAGCGGTGAAAGTACGTATTGGGCCTCCAGACAGCCATCCCCGGGCGGTTGGGTTTGCCCCTTTTTGCCGAAGAAGAAGGGAATTTAATGGAATTTAATAGAACGCTTTAAGGAGAAATATAGAAGTTGAAAAAAAAAGACATTGAGCAAAGCACTTGGTAGAACGCTTGGTCAACAGTGGTCCACATGTGTTTCCAATGTTTTTCCACGGTGATGTTGGGACTTCACGCAAGGATTTCTGCTGCATCTGACAACTACAGTAGCTAGAGCCAGAATCAGAACCAGCTTGTCCAAACGACTTCCGGGGCCCCAACTGAAGAACCTTTGTTTTCAATCGTTGATTGTTCGAAAGACAATGTAATTAAGGAAACCAAATTGGTTTCCAAAGCAACTGTATAAACATGTCTCTAAAACAACGTGAAAACGAGAAAATGAGAAATTTCGATAAACACCGTGTAAATGAGGGCGGAGCGGGGAATCTCATGCTGGATGGGGCTTTTGCCCGGGACATCACGCTGCGGAACACAAAGGTATATTTCATTCACATCCACATGGTCATTTACACGGATTCACATTCACACAGTCTCTTGCACAAAACGGCCAATGATAGACATCCACATCGTATCTTCTTTTGTATCAAACTGGCCAGTGATTTTTGCGGTCTTGCCCACATGGTCTTTTGTACAAAACAGCCACCGTTTCCCAGCCACATGGTCTTTTACGCAACGCAGCCGCCGATTCACATCGACATGGTATCTATTCACACCTACACAGTCTTTTGTACAAAGCGGCCACTGCTTTCCATGCAAATGGTCACATGGTCTTTAACACAAAGCGACCACGGAACCTCCACCTGGTCTTTTGCACGGGTGGAGCAGTCACACTCCTTTTTTGCATCGAACTACAAAATACCTACGGTATTCCAAGCACGTGGAATAGGCACATTTTTGGATACATCATTGATACTACAAAATACCCACTACTATTCCGGGAAGTAGAAGAGTCACAAATCCCAGCAACTGTTTTGACTACCGGGGAATGCGACTAATTGAAGCTATTCCACAAGTGGAAACATGACATTTCTTGATACATCGTTGATCGCGTAGAGTACCAACAGTTGGGATAGTCACTCTTTTTTGGTACATAGTTGATAAGGCAGCATTCCAAAAAGCGGATTCGTCACATTAATGCTGACTTTGGAGTCCAACCAGTGGAATAATCAAATAGCCACAATTCTGGATACACGTGGCACTGCAGAATGGCCACGACTGGTTTGCCCAAAAGTGCAATAGTGGCACATTATTCGGTACAACCGCCATATGGCCTCTAACCTACTTGCAATGGCCTCCAATCCAACCTGAGAGCGACGGCCTAGCGATGGCCTCCACCCTAGTAGCGATGCCTCCAGCCTAGTAGTATCCCAAAATAGGGGGATGGTCGCATTTCTTTGCTCATTGATGATACCGCAGAATGCCAACTCTGGTGTTCCAAAAATAGTCATGTTTTTTGACGCATCGTTGGTACTGCTGAATGCCCACCACAGGTATACCGCAAAGTGGACAAGTCACTTCTTTGCTGTGCGTCGATAATGCAGAATGCCCACTACAGGCATTCCAAACATGGAATGTCATTGTTTCCTACATGGTTGATGCGCAGAATGGCCACTGTACAGGTATTCCTACTATCGAATAGTCACACTTGTTCTACATGGTCCTGGTTGATACCATGGAATGCTCACCGCAGTTATTCCAAAAAGTGGAATAGTTGCATTTTCGATACATTGTTGATTCCCCAAAAGGCTCAAAGGTATGCAAAAAGTGCAATATTAACTTTTTGCAACATTGTTCATTCGCAGAAATTCCAAGAAGTTGAACGGTCACATTGTTTGATAATCGTTGATACTGGAGAATGCCAACGACTGTTGTTCCAAAAACTTCATAGTTACTTGTTTTAGCATGCGCATCTCGTTGTAGGATTTGATAAGCCACGCTTTTGTCCAGATAGATGTACTTATTTTATAGTTGTATTCTGATATCATTGTAGAAACTACTGTGTGTTTTCCCTTTCCGACCTCGTTGCAAGATCTAGTGCGTCCACACCTTTCAGATGTAGCTTTGGTTCTTTTTCTTATTCTGATCTCGTTGTATGATCTGGTAGGTCCATGCTGCTCTCAATCAATGTTTTTTAGAGACATTACAATCTCACAATCTGACGAGTCCGTACTTTTCTCAACGCATATCTTGTTGCAAGATCAAGTCCGCCATGTGTGAGTATTGTTTTCTTCTTCCCGACGTTGTACAAAGGAAAGCCCCCACTCCCCTCCACGCACACACATATGTACATTTACATATGTATATGCATTAAATTGTAGATATGCCTGTGGTATTCCAATCTCTTGATAAATCTGATGAGTCGACACTTTCTTGCAGGGTCCAATCTCATTATATTGCTTGAGGGTTCCACACAGCGCTTTTGTCCAAACAGGTCAACTAACGCAGGACGACTCCCCCTTCACTTCGGCCGGGTTGGCCTCCGTTTGGTTATTGTTGATTGTGCTGGCTTAGAACGAGAGTGGAACATTCTTGCCCAACAGCGAAGCTTGGGGGTCTTCAGCCATGGTACTAGGCTTCGGAGCAGGTCCCGTGACAGGTTCCGAAGCAGGTTTCGGGGAGCAGATTCCGGGGTAGGTTGGAGGAGGTTCTGTGGCTCGTTTGGCTCTGGAAGAGGTTTTGGAGCAGTTTCTGAGGCAAATTCCAGAGCAAGGGAGTTCCAGAGCAAGGTCTGGAGAAGCTTCGCAGCTAGTTTGCAGATACGCCGTCATGCTGACATGTGATCATGCTGGCATGCTATCGCGTCATTAGGCAACAATGCTTGTATGGCGTACGCTTTGACAGTCCATTGTTTGTCACTCTGTCATGCTAACTTGCAAACATGCTGTCGTGCTGCTGTCGTTGGTGACACGCTGACACTCGTTGCGCAAACATGCTAACACATTAAACTCTGATGGCAGGCTCCCAAGCAGGTTCCTCTTGCTTGTTGCGGCATTGTCATGCTTGCACATATGTGGGCACGTGTGTCATTGAATGGGCTCATCTATTTAAAGCAACATTGCATGATGTGGAGCAACTCGGAGGTCGAAGAATGGCTGGGGAATTCTTTGGGGTCATGAAACTCGTGAAACCAAAGGTCACAATAAAGGAACTTGAAGCGACCCGAAGGATGATTAGGAGGGGGTGTGCCACCGCTCACTGGTCTTTTTGTGCTCGGGTTATTCAGGTGCG